GCGCTGCACCCTCGCTGGGTACTTTTAAGAACCAACTAAAAACATGGATGTTTAGGCAGGCCTTCCCTTCCAGTTAATTCCTGTCCAGTTTCCTTTTTTTTCTTTTTCTCTTTATTTGAATTATTTTGTATTTTTCCCATCTTGTAGAATCATTTAATTAATTAATTGTTATAATTTTTTCTTGAACTTGTTATCCTTTATGTTGTAAGCCGCCTAGAGTGGTCGAAATGACTAGATAGTGGGGTATAAATACAATAAATAAATAAATAAATAAAAATTACCTTTACCTATAAGAGTTAAGACAATGAAGATGTGGCTTAGTGAGGTTAATTAGCCCCATTACTTGAAAATGTCTAGGCCCCAAGGTTGGATTTATATACAGAATAAGTATGTTACAGTTTAGGGCTTATTTTTTTCAAAGAAGTAGCTGTGTTAATCTGTGCAAGCCTATTCAGAAAATACAAAGGGAAAAAACCTCAAAAATCTTGTGGCACCTTAAAGATCAATTGTACTTTGGTATGAGCTTTTGTGGATACATCCACTTCTTCAGGCACAAAAGAAAATGTCTGAAGAAGTGGATGTATCCATGAAAGCTCACATTGAAATATAGCAGTTAGAATTAAAAGTTGCAGGATTTTTTCTCTTTTTGCATTTATCTGGATATGCTTATGTAATAAAAAGGCCTCTAAATACTAACAGAATATTACAAATATCAAGTTTGTAATGTTTCTATCTCCATACATTTTTCCATCTGGCATTGCTCTGACCCCTGAGTACAACCACTAAGATCTGAGTTTATTTTTAATCCTTCACATACCTCAGTACTCATGCATAACATCTCACATTTTCAATTGTAAGATAGGACCTGTTCTATTATTATCTTTACTTTAAAGCTTTATGGGAGCCTCTTGAGGCTAAAGTGTAATAAATAATTCTTTCTAAAAATCTGCAGAAAAATGTAGTTAGTTCTGTGGCCATAAATTATGCAACTTTGTTAGATTTGCTGTATTTTATCCGTAAAACATGTTTTGGCATTTTTAGTATTAGATTTGGCAGTGACTTAGGCTCTTGTTTTCAGCAATGTAAAGAAGCAGTGGTTCTTAACCTTGAGTAATTGTAGAAGTAATTTATTATTGCAATTCCCCATTGTGACGTGTGCCATGACGTCACCTGCCTGTCTTGGCTAAGGCTGGAGTTTCCTGGCCAATGGCAGGGCAGGAGGTGGGTCTTAAAGGGGTGGAGTTTGTGTATATAAGGGGGGTGTGCAAAGAGGGAAAGGTTGTTGTTGGGGAATTAGAGAGTTGGAGAGTGACAGGGTTAGATATAGGTTAGGAGATTAAGTAACTGTGTGTTAAGTAACCAAGAACTGTGCAGGGTTAAGGTCTGAAAAATATAGTATGACAAGTGATTCTTTTACCCAGTGATTTCCTTTTTATTTTTGTAATCAATAAAACATCATTTTTATTTTAAAATCCATACAAAGTCTGAAGAGTCAGGTTTATGTGTGGTTGGTGGCAGCGAAGTACTGTGTGTGTGTGAAGGATCGTGGCCTGTCATCTCTTGTGGTGACGTAGGAGGAGGTGGCAGTCGCGACACTCATTATTTCTCTTTTTAAGTTGTTTTTGTGGATTTTTGCCCTATTGAGATGAAAACTTGGCTTTAGTCAAAGTTCGCGTGAGCAGTGCAAATTTATGCAGTCTGATCACTCCTGCATTGCATAGACAGGAAATAGCCAAGATTCAGCAATCATGTAACTTCCTACTATATGCATACTCAGAATTGTGCAAAAGGCCTTCCAAACAAGCCAGAATCAGAGCCCAGCTTTAAACTCTAATGTGAAGTTGGTGTGCAATTCCTGACTTTTGAAAGAATTTATTTATAGTTCCAATACAAATGTGATGGGAAATAATGCTTGTTCTTCTTCGCGGCCTCTATGAATCCACACAAATGGGTTCAGTCTGCACTTGTGCTGGACTTCTCGGAATATTCTAGAGCTTTAAAAAGTAAAATTAGTTGTATGTTGCCCCTATAGTGCATGCTCCACCTGCCCTGTGTCTCAGTTCCATTTTACCGCCTTAGTGTTTGGAACTTCTCGCGTTAGAGCTTGTCTTGTTTGCTATTTTCTGGCTTTGATCCTGCTTCATTATCCGACTATTCTTCATCTACAGTAATAAGTTTTTGATCATGGACTGTTTTGCGACTACAATTTCTGCTTTTGGATTTATTGTGTTGCCCCTTCGGTTTTAGCGACTCGGACTGTTGAAGTTTTCCCGCCTTCGCGTTTGGATTTGGCTTATCATACGTACTCGCTTTGACTTTGACTGTTTACTAATTTTGCCTCTGATTGTGGACTAATTATATCGTGATTATTTGGTTTCGACTTGGACTGTCAACAAGTACTCTACTTTTTTCTCTCGTCTTGACCTGCCTGGGGTTTCATTACTTTAGGGGGTCAATTTAGGAGTTGTGTTTTGTGTGCTGGGAAAATTCCATTCTCCAATGATCATGATCATTGTTTATTCTGTTTAGGAGAGGGATACAAACCTACAAGGAGTGTAGAAAATTCATGAAACCAGCTTTGGAAGCTTATGAGCAAAGGCTGAGGTTATTTTTGTGGGACAAGTCTCTTTCCTAAATCTACGGTTATGGAGTCGACACTGACTCATCCACCTAAACCTCGTCCTGAGGCCCCAGTGCAACCCTTACCACTTTTTCCATCCTCCAAATCTTCAGAAAAGTCTGCTAAGAAACCATCAGGATCGCGGTCAATGTCCAAAAAATCCTCGACCTTGACGTCCTTTTCAGTCTCAAAACAACTGTCTACAGAAATTCAAAAGAAAAAGAAAACCATTCTTAAACAGAAGAAGGATAAGCATTTGTCTAAACCAGATCAACCCTGAGAAATACCCCCTGTCTCGGCCACGCTCCCATCTCCTATTCTGGAGGACTCTTCTCGGGATCGACCAGATATGGAGTCTTTGTCGGAGGGTATCACTTCCCCTCCGCCTCAACAGGCTCAGGCTTCGGTGTCAATACTGAGCTGTTCCCCAAGCCCAAGACGCGTAGAGGCTGACATCTTGTCCAGCCAGGCTTCTGCCCATTCCAGCCTTGTTTCAACTGGACAGGCGACGATTATACGTCTTTCCAACTTGGAGACATTCGACCATCAGTCTCCACTGTGTAAGTGGATGTCAAAACATAGACACATCTCTCCAGCCTGACATCACTCTTCACATCGAGAAATTGTTGCACTGCCTTGATCCTCTTGATGTCGGGCTCGATCGGACTCTGATGACTCCATCTATGTGGAGGTCGAACGCAAATGGGATCGGCGCCGATAGAGATGATGATTATGATGTCGACCCTTATTCCGAGATTGAAAGATATAACAAATGGAATAGGGTCAGATATGTATATGCCTCATCTTCATCCTTTTCTTCTCCATCTCCACTGAGATGTCAACGCTCAGCATACTATGAGGTTGAACCTTTGGTACCAAAGACCACTAAATATCCTGGTATAAGCAAGGAAACATCCGTTCAGGTACCCTCTAAGGCTACAAAGGACCGCAACATCACTACCCAACCTCAATCAGCTCCGCTTCCTGCTCAACAACTTCCAAGCATTCTGCACCTAAGCAGATACATAGAAGGCAACATGCGCCACCATTGCCATCTCCATCTCTTCAAGAAGATTCCTTTGCATCCTCTGCTTCTGATAATGAACAGGAGATGCTTTCAGAAGCTTCAGAAGGATTCCCTTCCAACATCTGTACTCCTGATTCCTATGCTGCTGATTTTCATCCATCTTCTCCTTCTGAAGATTTCTCTTCATATATCCAAATGATTTCACAGATGGCTAAGCCATTGAAATTAGATGTTGAACAGCCACCTCCACCAAAAGAAGACTTGGTATTCAATGACATTAATCAGGAATGGTCCCATCCTCTAAGTCTTGCTTTCATCCCCTCTCTGATGGATTTAATTAAGGAATCCTGGACTCTACCTTCAACATCCATGCAAGTCACTCGCAGAGTTGAAAATCACTATTGGACGCATAGCACTAATAGAAACTTTCTCATCAAACACCCTGTGCCCAACTCAATCATAGTACAATCGAACCAGTCCAGATCCGGAGGTAAAGCCCAGGTTACTCCCACAAATCGGGAAGGTAGAAAATTGGATGTTTTGGGGCAGAAACTGTACTCCTTTGGCATGTTCCTGCTAAGGGTTACTAATTATCAGGCTGCAATGGGAGCCTACCAGAGGCAGCTTTGGGCTAAAGTGCTTCCTGCTCTCCAAACAGCTCCAGAAGATGTTAGAGCGTCTCTTCTTAATGCCCACTCAGAAGCAGTTACTATGGAAAAACACCAGAGGCTGGTGTCCCACCATTCTGCTGATATCACATCTAAGTCTATGACTTCTGCCATTGCCTTACGGAGACACGCGTGGCTCAGATCTTCAGGAATTACGGAAGACGCTAAGTCTCGTATTGAAGAGCTCCTGTTTGACGCCGCGGGATTGTTCAATGAAAAAAACAGATGAAGTGATGGACAGTTTGCATAAGATCAAAAAGACAGCCAAGTCTTACACAATACATCAGCAGCCTAGATACCAGAAATATCAGTGCCGCAAGCAATATGTTCATCAGCAATATCAACAAACATCTAATCAAACTTACCATTCTTACGAACCACCACCTCAAGGGCGACCCTCACAAGCTTCCTCTTCTGGTGTTGCTATTTGGTCTCAGGCTTCCACCCATCGCCGACAATCCTACCATCAACCTGCTAAGAAAGGAAAGCAGTATCTTTGACTATCATTTTGAATCCTTCCATTCTCAATCATGAACCCAGGTTAACCCCGTTTCTCCACAACTGGTCTCTAATTACAAAAGACACCTGCTATTAGTCAGTTCGGCTACCTTCTCGAGTTTATAGATCTTCCCCCTGTCGATCACATAATATTCACATCTTACGCACCTGCTCTAGAAGAGGAGATATCGTCTCTTCTTCAAAAGCAGGTTATTGAACGCATACCATTTTCAGACATCCCATGGGTTCTACTTTCGCTACTTTGCAGTCCTGAAGAAGGATGGAGGCATCAGACCCATCCTAGATCTCCAGCTTCTGAATACTTACCAGGTCACATTAGAATCCATCATCCACCTCTTACATCAAAAAGACTGGTTCATGGTTATAGACCTACAGGATGCCTACTTTCATATATTATCCATTCATCAACGTCATCAAAAATACCTTTGTTTTTTCTTCATCAATACTGCCTATCAATTTTGTGTCCTTTCTTTCTTTCTTTCTTTCTTTCTTTCTTTCTTTCTTTCTTTCTTTCTTTCTTTATTTATTTATTTATTTATTTATTT